TACATATATTTTCGTTGTTTTCGTTGTCCTCTTATTACTAAGAGAAAAAACAAGAACAACATCTATTCCATACCTGAAGATGTCTGTAGGAACAGACGAAAGCTTGTAGTAAAAATAAGAACTAATACGGCAGAAATTTATAGAAACAAGGATCAATTCATTCATAACGGATTCGGAGGTTTTTGTATATTATTTGAATTGTTTGCGATGATGGATTTCTCGCCAATTAAATCATTAACCTTTGCATTTGTTTTTGTGTGAATAATTCATGAATATATATATATATATATATATATATATATATATATATATATATATATATATATATATATATGTATAAATATAAAAATTATAAATATTTTCAGGTTATAAATATATTTTTATTATACACTTTTTATTTACACATTTACACAAAAAAAGAAATGCATTTTTTTGAATTTATTGTATATTAAATTTTTTATTATAATCTTTATATCCGATTTTTTTTTTATATATATATATATATATATATATATATATATATATATATATATATATATATATATATATGAAAATTTTTAACATTTTTTTTTTCACCTGTAACACGAATCTGAAATTTCTTGCAAATTATTGTCGTCATGTGATAATTGAAAGCTGATCATTGCATACGATTGCATAGTACAAAAAAAAATCAATTGTGCTGTATTTTTATTATTATACATTCTACACTTTTATTATACATCGAGCAATATTTTAATTTCAATATTCTAATATATATATATATATATATATATATATATATATATATATATATATAAAAGAAAAATGACTCACCTGATTTTTTTTTTAAAATTTTTCGTTTATTGTTTTTGGGTCAAACTAATTTTTAATCTTACTAATATAAAACCCCTTCCCGACCACCTAGTAAAAAAATTTTGCTCACCATAAGGTATTCTTTCCTTGATAATTATAATTTTTTATATAAATGAGATTTATTTTCCAAACTCTGTGCAAAAAAAAAGTGACTCAATTATTTCCTGCAACTAGTAATCAATAGAAACATAACCGAACAGCTTTAAATAAAAAGAATAATAGAGGTATAATTTATTTATAATAGGTAATATAGTTCGAAATATTTAATAATCTATGCCTCCTCCTTTATTTTGAATTACCTTTTCAACCCTTTTTTTATTGACTTGATTGGTTCATCTAAAATCTAATCTCCAAGCATTGAATTCCATTCGGATATGAAATTCACAATCAAATCCTCTTTGTTGCTCAGCTGCTTTTTCGAGAGCCTTACTTTATAATGCCCCATAAGTTTTCTATGGGGTTGAGGCCAGGAGATTGGGGCGGCCATGTCATAACACTAAAACACTTCTCATCAAAGTATTCCTTCATCAATTTTGATTTGTGACAGGGAGCATTATCCTGCATAAAAATGAGCTTGGTAATTATGTCGATTTGCACCCTTTCAGCAGAAGGGAGCAGACAAGACTCTAAAATTCTCTTGTACTGCTCGCTCCTGAGGGTCTTTTTCAATAGGTTTTAAGAAACCAGTTCCATGAAAAGAAAAAAATCCCCAGAACATTATACTGAACGGATGCTTTTAGATCGCTTATCCTTTGAATTTAGCTTTCAAAGCTTCGTTTCATCGGAGAAGAGAACATTCTTCCTTTCTTTTACGGTGAAATTTTTTTAATAGTGAGCCCATTCAAGTCTCTTGGCTTTCTTGGCTTTTTATTAACAGCTTAAACCTTCGTGTACAAGATTTGTAGCCTTGTTCTAAAAGCCATTTGTCGGACTGTTGAAGAGGCAAGACTAAAACCTTGCTCTTCCCTTAGACTGGCTGCAATTTCTTGGCTAGTTATAGTCCTATTCTTCGCGACTTCTCTCTTGATTACCCTGCCAGTTCTATCATCAATCTTTTTCTTTTGTCTCCTTGTTTCCTTCCTTGGAGCAGGAGTGGCATCATTATGTGCCCTAAACCCTCGAGAGACAGTTGATTGTGAGGTTATAGCAATTTCTGCAATTTCTCTCGTAGACTTGCCTGCTTTTTGAGAGAATGCCTTAATAGATGCCTTTTGTAATTTGGTTCTGAAAAATGGCTATTTCAAGCTGTTTTTTATACTGCATGAGGTTTTTGGAATATTCAATTTAAGCTTAATTTAAAATGTTCTAGAATTCTCTAGAATATTGTTCTTCGTGTATTGTAAAATAGTTTTCAATATTTTTCAAAAGCTTTTTTAAATGTTTAATCAGTTTAATCATTTTTTTGCAATGCGATATTTATATAAAATTTATAATTATCAAAGAATACCTTAGGGTGAATAAACTTTTTTTCCTAGGTGGTCGGGAAGGGGTCTTTATATTAGTAAGATTAAAAATTATTTTTAACCCCAAAAACAATAGACAAAAAATATTTTAGTAAAAAAATGAGCTGAGTCACTTTTATCGAACAGCACTGTATATATATATATATATATATATATATATATATATATATATATATATATATATGGTGATTTTTTTTTTGTTATAGATTATATCTTGAGTTTGATAACACATTTCCATAGTTTCATCGTTGCAGATCTACTGAACATAATCTGGGCAATACACTGTCTGCCCCAAACATTGCAAATACACTTGTCTCTGAAAACATTTTACGTTGTCACCGTAGATTTACGAGGTATGCACCAACAATTTTACATTTAATGTTGCATTCACTACATATAATGGCATCCAACATAGCACAGGCTATAGCAAATCCATGTAGGAGACTCTGTGGGTGATTCTAAAAACTATACTGCACTATTTCTTTTTTTTTTTTCTTAAACATTAACTGCATAGTTCTAGGTATCTGATCAAAAACCGATCAATTTCCCAAATTTTTATCATTATAATATATATATATATATATATATATATATATATATATATATATATATATATAATTACAAGTGTGGGAAAAAAAGTTCCAAAGATAACTATGAAGGGGTTTAGCTATTATGGTTTTGCATTTATTTCAACTCTTCTTATCTCATGAATTCATTGTTTCATTTTATTGATACAAGCCATCAAATGTTCACACTTGAAGGAAATTTTAACTATCTTTAATTAATTTTTCCAGGTTTAAAATTTTCTTATTAAAATTAAGTTTTCTTTCACAGGTGGAATGGGATGAAAAGTTCATCATAGACTTTGAATGAGTTATTTTAAAACTAAATTTATATATTATGCATTCATTTCGAATCTTCTTATTAATAAATGCATTATTTCCTTCCAGGTAAAGTTTAATGTGGATTATTAAAGAATACTTTAGAAATTAAATAGTATGTCGTCTTCTCTTCAAAATGCATCATGATTTTATCAAATACCTGCTGAAAAAGTGTTCAGCCTCCAAGGACATTAATGCTGCCATTGTTGTTTCATTAGAGGATGATGCCCCAGCTTCATCAATAGTGCAAAAGTATGCAGCTGAATTTAGGAGGGGAAGGGAGAGTCTTGAATTCTGTCAAATAGTCAAATTCCCACGACAAGTAGACGGGAGATTTCTGTCAGGTGGCAAATCATTTTATTATTATTATTATTATTATTATTATTACTATTATTTATCCCCTGTTTTTCATCATTTTTTTCTCTTTCGTTGATTTTTTTTCCATTTTCATTTCTCCTCTCTACGTCTTTCCTTGGGCTCTTTGCTATTTTCCATATTTTCATTTACTTATACAATGATGAGAAACTAAGAGAGTAATGATGTTTTGTCAATTAAATATTCAGGCAAAAAATTGTTTAAACTGGTGATTGTTTAATCATTTATAAATATTATATATATATATATATATATATATATATGTCTTAAAATAATTGTCAGACTTTGTCCATTTCATAATGTGTGACGTCATTTGTTTACATTTAGATACGCATCGAGCAGATATGAATGTACGTGAGAAAATAATGGAAAATTGTAGTTTAAAATCAGTAAAATCGACCTTGCTAACCGAAACGCTGATCTGTGCCGAAATCGGTAAAAGAAAATCTTTTTTCTAAATAATTCATTTCCGTATAGGACACAGGTTCAATTCCTGTCGAAGGACGCATATTTTCTATGACAATTTCTCTGATATTCAGGCCGGTAAATGTTGTTAATACTATTTATTATAAACAGAGCATTTGCTTAAATATTTGTATCTATAAAAAAGAATGTACAAACATAAAAATGACTTAAAATATATGTATTTATATATTTCCCAATATCATTTCATTCGATGAACTATAAAGAAATTTAAATAAACAGGAAAACAAAGATTGAAAGTATAAAACTAATTTCAATCCATATCCTAATTAGTAATCAATATTTAATAAACATACAAGGACATATTGATTATTACTAATATTTCCTTGTTTATTTACACTTTTCTCAGTGTGATATGGATGCAAATAAATATTGTGGTTTATTAATAAGATTATCTGCACGTTGGAAAGCACATAAAGGCAAATGTTGTGCTAAAACCAAATTGAAAAGTTTTTCATGTGCTTTTTCATTGTCAGATGACAGAAACGATCCACGTGTTAATGGTAATGATATGACTAGCTGTTTCCTTATAAGGAAACATTTGGCATTCCTTGACCAAATATTCAGTAATACTGATAGTTGAAATTTGTAAAAAAATATTTCTCTTAAAACAGTTATTCAGGAAAATAAATTTTTCAAGTTCATTCAGTGTTACCGTTAGTAGTGATGGATTTGGTTGGGTGTTTTGTTTAGCGGCATATCAACACCTTTATGGGTCATTTAATGGCGAAATCTAAATAATATGTATGCAATTTTCTTGGAAATAATAATGGTTTTAGCGATAAAAAATCTTACTAATTAAGCCATAACTGGGGAAGAAAAGACGAATCCATACCTTTCTCAAAGGTTTTTGCGTGTTAGCGAATATAACGAACCCAATGAAAATTTGAACTCGGCTCTCCAATTAAAAATTCCAAGCCATTATACTACCCAAGCATCAATGCTTATAGCACCTGGTATTCCCAAGTGGTCTCCTACCTAGGTACTGACAAGGTTCGACGTTGCTTAACTTTGGTGATTGTACGGGAATCAGTGTTTCCACTTGACATAGCTGTAAGCCGGTACTGATGGAGGTTTCCTTCGTAACCTTTTATTTTAGTAGCGTAGAACGTCAACATCTTGATCATGTCATTATTTTCTCTTCGAGTTACATGTGATATCCATTTTAGTTGTCACTGCTGCTGAAAGTCTCCAAGTGATGTGATTTCTGTTATTTGGTAAAATTCTTTTTGGGGGATTGTATAGCTTTAATTATTGTGATTCTGTTAAGGGTTTTGGAATTTACAGTCAGATTTATACTAGCAAACAAAAGAGATTCGCAAAGCCAAGAATCTTCAATTGGTTAAATTCTTTTTCGGTGAAAAGTGAATTCATTTCTGCTTTTGAAACAATTTCAAATAAAAGACAAGTATAAATGAGAATAAGTAAAGAAAGAAAGAAAACAAAATCGAAATAAATTTTGGATTACTTTGAATCCCAAAACTTCAATGGAAAAACAAAACAATAGAGGCTACGATGTTTATTGTATGAAAAGAGTTAATGATGCTGTAAGAACTAATATCAGTCGTGATAAACAATCCAAGTTCTGATATAAAAGTGAATAGAATTAAATCATAATGATAATTGTAGTAAACATAATCGACTGATCTTCTCATTCTTCATATAGCCTTGACTTTAAAATTAAATGTTTGATTGCTAATATTAAACAAGTGAAGAATATGTGCGCCGCAAAATGGATTTCAATCTTGAGATTAATTACCGTTTCTCGAAGAAAGCTTTTGAATTAATACTAAATATCACGTAGCAAATAATAATGTCATATTGATAAGTTTTAAAAATCCTTTATATAAGAAAAGAAATAATTCTTAGAATGTTTATTTTTCTAAAGTATCGTCTCAAGAGTGATCAACTAACCTTCCCAAGACATTGACTTTGGTGAAGAAGTAAATTGTGTTTCTGTCGAAACAGTATACTAGTTTGCAGATCTACAGTTTCAAGAGAATTAGCTTAACTGGTGGATGTGCTATCCCAAGTCCATGACCCAGTAGCTCGAGTTGAAGCTCCAAACAAAGTCCACTGAGAAGTAGCAATGCCACGGTGATTGTAGAAGTAAAACTCTTGGTCAAGGGAAGGCACATTTTTTAACGAAATAAGATGACAGGCAAGAAGGAACATAAGAAATAAATGAAAAAAGAAAAGTTGAAAAACATGGAAATCGAGGAAAAAATCGAAATCATTCAAAGAACGGCATTTCCAAAATCAACCAGTTTATCTAGAAATGATAAAAAAAAAGACTTATAAAGACTAAAATATAAATCTCACTCACAACAACGACATCATAGTCCTGGGTATGACGATAAACTACATCCAGCAACAAATCCTCTGATCAAAAGACTGGAGGTTTTGAGGAGCGTGGAACCACCTCGTAATTGCTTTTGTTCCCATGTCCACCCTGAGCCGAGGTAGTAGCACCTGTTAGGGTCCCAATAAAAAACAGTATGAAAGTGTAAAAATAGATTTTGATAGTCAAAATACTTGCAATATATTTTTATAAAAACATTACCAACAATACCTATATATAACAAAATGACCAAAAATACATTTTATCTGTAGTTAAAGGAATACAATTGCGTTTAAAATTTTCAGATTTCAGCGTTAAATAACCGCTAGAGATTGATATACCGCGAAACAAAATCAACCATATAGTTAATAAAATGATAATAACGGAGCTTATGGAAGTAGTAGAAATATAATTTTCTCAAGATCTCTGGTGGATGTTGAACAGATAATTATATATTTTTAAAAGTTCACGTCAAAGTCTCTATTAAAATGAGAAGTATGGATCTTGATTGTTTAATTATTTATTTTGGATAATGTAAATCAAAGGAAGAAACAGTTTCGAATCAAATCTGACAAATAGAAAATGAATTTAAGAAAAGTGTCAGAATCGGAATATTAAAAGACCAAATCAAATACAAAAAAAATCTTCACATAGTATCTTAGGAATGAAATGCAACTAATAAAATTGTTTTAAGCAGCGAAAGAAATAAAAATACAAATCGGATGCTAAGAATAAATACCAGAAGGCTAAATAATATTTCTCTTGACAACCTTCTTGCGCCACTACCGCTGAAGACTACAGGTACTACTGTCACATTAAAATCCCATTTTCATTGACTGATTCGTTTTCTACAGCTTATCAACCCATTGCAGATATTTTAAAGCCAGAAAATATTTTTAAGTTGTAAGAATTTTTGGACGGCAAATAATAATGGTTTAATGGTGCAAATCTTACTAATTAACCCATAGCTAAGGGGAGAATAGGTAAATTCATACGTTTCCCAGGGGTATTTGCACGTAAGTGAATATAACGAAACCAATGGGAATTTAAACTCTACTATCCGATTAACAATTCCAAGGCATTATCTATTAAGGCTCGACGTTGCTTAACTTCGGTGTTCATACGGGAACCGGTGTTTCCACATGATATGGCCGTAAGCCGTTTAAATTTTGTGGTTGATGAATGTCTTAGGAAAAGCTCTGGTCTTCAGCCTGCCATAATTCTTATTATGCTACACTTTCGCACCAGATGCATCTTCCAACAATCGGAACAATTTCTCAGTCTCAGAGGATACCACATCTAATATATTTTCCTGTTAACCTCTTTTGCATCACAGAAATGGGATTATATATTGCATATCATATTACTTAAAACCTTTAGGGAACCTTGACGTGGTGTAATGGTTAGAAAGTTGTCTCGTTAGAACTTATTACAACTGTCTAGTGATTTCGATTCTCACTGAGTCCCCAATACTTTTGGCCTTATGCCACATTTAAGCTACACTTAGAAAATCGCCATATTATTTAAAACCTTTAAATATTTCTAATTTTACCAAAAATAATAAAATATTCAGATTATTTGCACTATTAATGTTCAGCATATTTCGCATATCTATAAATTATTATAAACCATCAATCACTTCCCCCAACATATGGGTTAAATAGTTGAACTTATATCACGAATGGTCTTTGCTATTCTTAAACAACTGTTTATGCAATATTCACTTACAAAAATAATTATTCTTACAATTAAAATCAGCAAGAGACCCCACATACTCTGGCCCAAACCGGGCACTTAAGAGGTCCAAACAGCGGCGGGGGGGTACATTATCATACAATTCAAAATGTCGCATGAAACCGCTTCTGCATGTCTTATCACAAATATCACATTTCAGTAGCTGGACGTCTACGGTTTTATAGTCAACTGCACACCCTCCTCTCAGTGCGCTCACGAGTGACTCCTTAAACCAGCCATCAACGAGCACACTCTACCACTATTTGTTACAATGTTAGAACGAGTTGCCTGCGGGTGTGTTCAGGAAGCTCAACAGAGACGCCTTTACGCACATCTCTTTTAAGCTTTGCGTGCCTCCTCTTCTCATCTTCAAAGTGGCGCCTTCCATTACTAGCAACCTCATTTCAAGCATTGCGATCAGATACACATTCTTCCCAGTACTCACAAGGAATGATGCATTTCCTCAGTGCATCCTTGATGCAGTCCTTAAAGCGCATCTTAGGGTTGATGGCATAAGAATCAATACAGAGGCATGAAACTGACAATCCCATTGTGGCTATTTTCAGCTAAATAACTATTACAAATAAAAGGAAACAATTAAAAGAATTTGATATTGCTGAGATGATAAAAAACAGGAATTACGCTGCGGTTTCCATTATTAGCCAGACCATCTTTTATTGATGTATCAAAAAGACATTGTAATCGGTACGTCTATTTGCTGAATGATGGCAACATTTATCTGCATAGTTAGAATAAACATCATCTGATTTTGTGCAGTTGTAAACGAACGACATCTATTTGTATGAAATGTATTGAAATTTCAGTCTGAAATTAATAGTCACAATATGAGTTTGAAATGGCGAAAAGAAGAATATATCCGGTCGGGTCCTAAATAAAGTACCCAAAAATTCGATATTAATCACTGCGACTCAATACCGAAAACGAATGAAATAGGAATCATAATACAAGAAGATCATTTTTTTTTTCTTTTCACCAACAAATGCTGCTGTATCCTCGTTGGGCCCGACGAAGCAATGTCTGGGTAACAACAGGCAGAAGCCGCCTCACAAGTTTAGATGTCAGCAAGACAAAGATGTTTGGTATGGGATTGTGAGTGATGCAGTCATGGAGTCATGGCAAGTTATATATATATATATATATATATATATATATATATATATCGAAATCAAAGAAGAATTGGTAAACAGGGATGGTGGCGTGGGATATTGCGTTCATTTCCATTCTGTAGAAGTGTAAAAATCTGATTTATACAGATAGAAATAGAATAACTAAGGTTATACTGTCTTTTACGCGGGAGGAGTTCTCGTACGATCTCCAATGTCGAACCTGGTCAGAGTAGGAAGATGGGTGACTGCTTGGGCATACCAGGTGATTGGATGTGCTGACGGTGTAATGGATAATGGCACGGACTTGTTAATCGGAGAGTCGTGTTCCAATTCCAGTAAGTTTTGTTTACCTATTTTGAAAAGGTATGAATCCACCTCTTCTTCCCTGGATGTGGGTTAAATAGTAAGAATTGTAACAGTAAATCATTATGATCTGCAGAAACATCTTACAGTCTCATAATATTTTCTGGCTTTGAATAATCTGCAAATGGTTGATAAACCTTAAAATTCAAATAAATCCATTCAATGATTATTTTAACCATGTTATAGGAATAGAAGTTGGACTCGAGAAATGTGTAATCGGTGGAGAAAGAAAAATATTAATCAACAAAATGTTTGCCAAAGTCGAAAGATACGACATCAAGACATTGAATAAAAAAATGACATGAAACATTTTAGATGTTGAGAAAGAAATCCAATTAAAATGAATAAAATGAAAGAAAAGAAAGCTTATTTCAGAAGATCAAGATTTCGGATACGATATAAAACGACCTTTGCATTTATTCCTTATAAAAATCATAAATACATGGAGACTATACGTCCAAACCATTCCTTGTCTGGTGAGGAGAA